ACATAGTTTAGTTTTTTTTTTAATTGAAAATTTTGAACAGCTAAGTTGTCATATGTTAATCTTTTCAATCTTGTTTTAAAATTATGAAAGCACAAGCAGTTAAGTCAAATCAAATAGACCACTCTAAGCATTAATGCAATGAAAACTCTCATGCCCCTTTCTATCAGTGGAAAATGAAAAAGCTACATCTTCATAATGTAATTTAAAAATTATAATATAATGTTAAAAAGTTTACCTTTTAGCAGAATTTTTGTCCCTCAGTTCAGATATATCATCATTACAATAAATAATTTTCATTGCTTGTATCTTTTGAGTTGTGCAGATTGCAATATGGATGATCTCTCTGTTGAAATGGTAGTTCCACACTTCTTCAGGTTCAGATTTTTATAAGTTTTGTCATTTTTTAAGTTACTTGGCAACTGAATCAACATATTGCTCTTACAGCACAAGCTATCTTATGGGCTAGTCTTTTGAAATAATTTTATCCATAAAATTTTTTACGGTAATTGACAGTGCTTCCTATACATCGCTTTCCTAGGATACAGATATTTCTGAATCATTATCCAGACTACAATTCAAGTCATTACAATCGTTTGCAGCTAAATAATTAGTGTTTGACCAGTTATTTAAAATTCCCTGTAATTGCTTCTAAGTTACAGACATGCATTGTTTTGTATATCTCTTAAAAAAATACATACCTGGTTTTATAAAAAAAATTTCTGTAACAAAAATTAAATGTAACACATAAAATATAAATCATGTAAAGGATGTACTGATGTCATGGATATAATAAAAAGTTATTATATATTTTCTAACATGCAGTTATTCAGACACTAGAACAGGTCTTTGTGACCGTAATATGGTGAAAAAGAAAGTTTTAATATTAATATTCAGTATATTCAAATCCCAGGCTGGCTGTATGGGTGTTTATATGATTTCTCCCATGTTTATATATTATATGATTTCTCCCATGTTTATATATTATATGATTTCTCTCATGTATAATGTGAATGCAGGGCAGTTTCCCTTGGAAAGTGTGCCACAAAAACATGCTTTCTCTAATACAAATGACTTCTGCATGCTATTCCGTAACCTTATTAATGGTAAGTGTACATTACATGCTTGTCATTAATAATTTGAAATGCAAGTTAATGAAGTCTTTAAATTTTTTGCTGAGACAGTTTGCAACTGATTTACAGCCAAAACGTTTGTTACGTGTATGCTTTGCTTTGTAGCTACAATTGATAAATGACCACACTTTGATTATAGTTTCGGGCTTTATTAAAGCTTTCATTGTTGTCTGCATATTGATTTATTGCAGATTGGTTTCCACTGCTTCATATAATGATTCCAAATGCTTACAGTGTGATATGTTTTAAAAAGTTTTAGATAACCTTGTTTACCTTAGCCCTTAAAAGTGTTTGTAAAAAATACTAATGTCAACAAAGCACTATTAATCCTTAAACTTTTGTTACAGTTAACACATTAAAATATTCTCATGCTCAACTATTTGTATAGAAAGTGCATTATTAGTTCACTTGAAATATGCTATGAAATTAGGTGTCATGGAGCAAAGGAAATTTGTTTTGCTAGAAGACTTTCTATCACTACTACGTATTTTATCATTTCCTAGCAATGGAATGAGGTGGTTAATGAGTTTTATTCCCCCCATTCATTACACTATAGTATAAAGCATTCATATGCTTAGCCAAGAAAAACACATTTTTACATATTTTTTTTTTATTTGCTCAATGTAAGAATTTTTATCCTGATTTGGTTATATTTCATTGAGTCTAATTTCCAGTTAGCCAGATGGCTAAAAGAAAAATTTAAAGGTACTGTATTATGAAGTGAATCAGTTTGCATTATAATGAATATCTCTTCTTTTCTTCTATAAAAACAAGTATCACTGATTTGCTAAATTTAGTAAACAGCAAATGGTATGTAACAAATAATCCGGATGTAAATTTTGACCCATTGGTGGCTGAGTGCCTGTGATCTAGGTACACTGTTAATTTGTCTGAAGATTCCTAGGAACTGAATGAGTAAGCTGTATCATGATATTCTCATGGTTTTTTCCCATCTGTAGCAAATAATATTAGCCGCATCTCTTACATATCTTCATATGTCCATCCCGTTTCTTCATAAGTCAATTCTTCATATGTCCATCCCGTTTCTTTGTCAAATGTTACTTGAGTGCTTAATTGTAATTCATTAATGTCAGTTTTTGGCATTAACAAAATGATTAGCAGTTTGTTAAATATTTTGTTTTTGTGTGTGTGCGTATTTTTGACCCGTGCTTAGTGCTGTTTTCTCAGTTAGTCTGATTATTTTATAGATCTGTTAAAATTTATATTTTGAACCCAATGACCCAAAATGTTTCCTACTGCTTCAAAACAGTTGTGAAGGGAATGTATAAATGTAGAGTTCAACTTAAAAAATATGCAGGTATTGTGACATTTGTTATTAATATCGTAGTTATTTATGTGAGATACTATATTTATTCTGAACTGAAGAGTATTTTTTTAGATTCGATAAATTATATAGTATATTGCAGAGTTGCCAACTCTCCCGATTTAGGCGGGAGACTCCCGATTTTCGACCGCTCTCCCGCCAACCCGATTTACAATATATTCCTCCCGACTTTTTCTTATTCTTAAAATTTCTCACGATTTTTATGCAACTTGGCTTAATACTTTGTTATATGTATAAAAAAAGTGCTTTTGGACGTCTGAAAGCAATTGAAATTGAATTTTCTCTACGTTATATCTAAAACAAAACCTTGCGAATCAGATAGCTTCTGCTTTGTAAGTGAGAGCATTATACGTATCCAGAAACGTCATTCTCCAGTTCTCCAATGGGCTTTGAGCTCCACTGCGTGTCAGCTGGCATATATTAGCCAATGAGGAGAAAGCAAGTTGTTATTTGGACGTTCTTTTTAGTTATTTCGTTCATTTTGTCCTGAGTTGTGTGAGTACACGTGCCTGAGGGAAATAGTTTTAGAAATTATCATCTTTTGTTACGTCTGCGAGAAAGGTGAAATACTCGTGTACGTTTCAAAAATCGTACACAGTTGACTTTCCTTCCATTATTTCCTCAAGGAAATGTAATAAATTTGCGATGTGTACCGCCTGTCATTGCGATTTTTCGATTTCGTATGTTGGAAGGGCGGATGTTCTCAAACATGTGCGTACACAAAAACACAAGGATAACATGAGTTGTTTGAAAAAAACGAAAAAATTAAATTTTTTCTTCGGAAACAAAGGACCAAAAAGTTATTATGCAGAATGTCTGTTCTCTGCCTTTTTACTGGAGCACAACCTGCCACTGAATGCATCGGATAACGCTGCAGCTTTATTTAGAAAAATGTTTCCCGATAGTGAAATCGCTAAGAAATACTCAAGGTGCAAGAATCAAAACAGGTGCAATTGTTAAAGAAATGGGTTTGAAAAATAAATCTTCAGTTATTGATTGCATTAAAACAGCTCCGGTCTGCCTCTCTACTGATTGATGGAAGCAATAATACCGATTCAAAACTGTATCCAATTGTTGTTTCTTTTTTTGATCCAGAGTCTTCAGAAATTGAGTTCAGTTTACTTTATGTTCCCACTTTAGAAGGACATTTGACAGGCTTTAATATAGCACAGTTAATTATTAAAACTTTAAAAGAAAACTGCAGGCACTCTGGATAATTGCTTAGCACTTGGTGCCGATAATGCACCAGTATTGGTAGGCTTGGAAGGCTGGTGTTACAGGCATCTTAAGAAAGGAAAATTCAGATTATGAGGTGCACCTGTCACCTCTTAAATTTAGCAGCTGAAAAAGGGGCAACTTCTTTACCAATAAGTGTGGATGAACACATTGTTGATATTTATTATTATCTTGAAAGGAGTTCTAAAAGGAAGGAAAAATTGAAACAGTTCCAACAGCTGCATAACAGCAGTTTACAATTAGAAAACTTGGATGAAGTTATAAAATCAGCTACGATTGACACCCAGTGGAGTTTAATTGCAAAACTGAAAGTTGCTGATGGAATTTTAAAATATAGTGAACTGTCTAGAATTGTGTTGGCCATCTTGACGGTTCCCTATAGTAATGCAGAGTGTGAGAGGATCCTCAGTGTTGTTGCGAAAACGAGGACTAAATTTAGATCTAATATTAGAGATGGCACATTAGAAAAACTTTTATTAGCGAAAGCAGGCCTACGTGGCAATTGCTGTGAACACAATGATAAAGTTTCTTTCTTAAAGAAAGCAAAATCTGCCACTGTTTATAACATGTGTACAAAAACTGATTAAAGTGTCTTTTTTTTTTTTTTTTTTTTTTTCTTTTCTTAAACGATGCGTGTAGTAAAAATTTTTTTTTAGTGTAAGGTATTTTTGTGTTGCTTGCATTTAAGAATTAGTTACTACTTAAAGTTCATTCATTATTAAAAACTATATTTTTATCATTTAAAAAGTCTTTTTAACATTGTGAAAAATCTCCTGATTTCTTAAAAAAATCTCCTGATTTTTGAGTGTCATAGGTTGGCAAGTATGATATTGTTATATAAAACGGCATTCTTTTATTAAAAATGTGTTTTCAAAGGGATTTTGCACTTTTTCTGCTCAGTTATATATTAAAGTGTGGTAAAAATATTACCATGAATGATATAAAATAAGCTAAATGATAATTCAGCTTATTATATAGACAATTTTTCTATATGAAAGAATAATATATATAGGCTGGCTGTGGTACAAAGTAGTCGTGTATTTTTTTATGCATTTTTTTTTAGCCTTACATGATAACTGAGTTCAAAAGATTTAATTTTATTTGTATTTTTTATTTTATTGTTGCCATTACCTACCTGTGCTTTCATCATAAGCCTTCCCCCTCCCCTGTTTTTTCCCCCAACTCTTTCCTTTTTCTCCTGCTTTTAGTTGAAAGAATTCTTTTATTCATCTAAGGAATAAATGTCTTTACTGAAGTGTTAATTGATGTGTATTTTATTTCTATTCTAGATTGACTGTAATGGACTCTAAAGGAGCAATGAATTCCACTTTTGCTAATGTTACAGTGCAAAAGGGTTAGTTTTACATTGCTTTGGAATCATATAATGAATTTTTTATTATTGCTATTTTTCATTTATATATTACCTTTTGGGAAAAGTAAGCCGAGTTTTATTAATTGTTAAAGGCTCTACTTGGATTGCCCCCTCATATTTTTGTATTAGACAGGAGGTGGGTATCAAAAGTACATCTAAGAGGAGAATAAAAGAACTTGTGTGCTGCAACCCTTCGGATCCCAAACCACAGGCAGCGGACTGTAAAACTGAACTCTTTCTTTTATGCAACCATTGAACTGGCTTCCCAGGTACTTGTAGAAATGAGCAGGACACCAGGATTTTACCATTGGCTGTACAGGTATAGTCCTGCTACCCTAAATATGCAGTTCCATCCCAATTTTGAGGAACCCCAGGGTCACCACTCCTACAGGCACAAAGGGTGATGAGCATATTGAAACCATATGTGGCCATCTTGCTACCTACATAGATAGTATATGCCACTTCTCTTCATGGCAGCATAGGCTGCTCTTTTGGGCAGCAGGAACTGAGTCTATGTATTTTATGCCCCCAAAGGTTTTAACTGCCAGATTATAATACTAAGCTGGTATAATTGACCCCAAGGGTTAGTGTTGGGAAAGGAAAATTAAATTATTTTATTTTTGATAACCAAATTTATGTAATAATTTCCATTCTTACTTTATACCCTGAAGACCAAAAAATTGTCGTGCGCAAGCCTCAGTTCATTTATGCAATTTAACATAATTTTTCCCTCTAAGCTTTCTTTCCTAAGTAATTAATTGTGTTTGGTAAGTTATCCCTGTTGAGTAAGTTACCAAAATTTTCCACTTGGATATCAAAATGCTTTTTAAATTTAGTTCCATCTACAAATTGCAAAAATGCACAGCTTTGTGTTGTGTAGCTAGCTGTAAATGAGCATTCATTCCAATTTATATGTTTTACAGCTCATAATAGTACTTTAAGACTTCTTTGCATAATTTTTCATTAAACTCAAAATTCCTGGTCTATGTAAAATGCTCCCTTAATTTTTGAGTATTTGCAATAAAAAAGAAAGCTGTTTAAATCTGGGAACAGAATAACTTTTTGCACAATGCTTGGTGACTCCGTGGAAGTGATGTTTAGTATAAATATCTCACCTTAGCAGTTTATGTTCTGTGTAATGGCAAGACAAGTGAGAGGCGTTTTGCCATTTTGTCTTTATGTTGAGACACAAGGCAGGAGATTGACTTTCATTTAACTGCGCTGAGTGATCGAGCAAAAATAATATTTTGTTGTTTTCCATTCATGTTAACCCATTAACTTAAAAAAACTACAAGAAATGATTTTTTTTCTTATACAAATGATAATAGGTATTAAATTAAGTAATTGTAACATAAATTTACACTGAAAATAAAATGTGCTCTTGCATGTGGAAAAATTGAGTGTTGCGTTTGGACAACATCAGCGGAATAAGACTACAGAAGTTTAATGAGTATAATTGTATTCGTGCGAAGTTTTCTTTGAGTGGAGCACTGGCTTATTTTTTTTTTTTTTTTTTAGCTGTATAACAATTTGTAAATCTAGAAATCACTTTGCTTGTAATTAATTAAATATTAAAATTTACGTTGTATTTCTTTTACAAATACAGATTATTTTCAATTGAAAGATTGAAGCATGAAAATCTTCACCGCAATCATAATGTGAAGTTACATTACAATATTTTGTATCTATAAACAGTCTAGCTATAGCATTCTTTACAATGAAGTCTTCTGCTATCCTTGAACTACCATAAAATGTCTACCATCTCCATGCAATGACTTTTGAATGCCGAATTTACAAGGTCATCCTATTGCTGATCTATTTCTGGCTAATCCTACACTCTCGATAGGAGTTTGAAAGAGGAATAATACAATTTTGCATCTGAAATCTAAAAGAAATTTTTATTTCCGGTAGTAGAAAGTCATGATATTTTCCGTGCATTTGTCAAGGATAAATCAGTGTAATTACTTAACGTTAGCCACCACCATTTTTTGCTATGAACTCTTATTTTATTATTGGTTACTAAATTGTTGCTTAAATCGACTCTTTCCATTTTAAGATTCTGTTGTTCAGTAAGATGAGGCTGAGATACAAAAACCTTTTTCTTTTGCATTCTTGAATAACGAGAAACACTTTTTAAGGACTGAATTTTTCCAGATGTTGAACCAACAGTTACAACTGAATCATTGTTCCATCTGACAAAAACTATTTTGTTTCTGTCTTCATAATGGAATGGAAATCATAGTAACCCCTTTCTTATGGACACATTTTACCATTTCTAGTGTGCACATTTGTATGCAATTAAATTCATCCTGTAGCACTAAAACCTTTATTTTTTAGATTGAACAGAGAAGACAAAATCGTAACTGATGGCTCCTTTTTTTTATCCATTTCAAGCTTTCAGTTTTCTTTTTTAAAAACATTTTTGGATGACTAACACTATTTTTTGAAGCCTGAAACTTTTCGCGTGAATTTCAACATCCCCAGCAGTATCATTTGGTAAAATATTATGCAAAGCATTATCATTCCCTTCTTCTTCATCACTAGCTTCTGCAATTTCTGGTGAAACAACAATAATATCAGTTCCATTCTGGTCATTATCATCATGTTTTTTCATCAAAAAGTCTTTGAAGGGCTTCTTTGAATGTAAGGTATCTTGTTCTAGGCTTTTTTAAAGTATGGAATGTATATCAACCAGTGCATCTAAAGGTATGGGTAAGAAAGGGAAATACCCTTCTCCTATAGACATTGCACCAGTGCAACACCTATTTTCCCTTCCATCCCCACACAAATATAAGCAGCTGATTGATGAAGTGTTCTGTTACCTTGGCTAAAAACAGGTTACCTCTAAAGTCGGCGTTTCTTTTTAAATTTTTCCGGCAAAAATGCCTGGTTGCTTCAAGTATGAAGCTAATCATTATAAACAAAATAACTGTTAAAGACAAGTATTTTTTCACATAAATAATCTTCATAATATACCCTACACAAAATCATCTACTAGTATAAAATATCTTTGCTAGTTGCTCTTTTATATGCATTTATTTTGACCGTTGTTCAACGCAACACCAGCAGTTAATGGGTTAAGTTCTAGTTTAAATTCCGGACAAGAGAACTTATTTGTTACTATACATCCAGATAGCTATTTGTTTTCTGTATTATGATATTCAGAGTGATGAACTTGCAAGAACCTTTCTGTGTGATTAGTAGGCAGCTCTTTTTTTATATATCTTATAATGAGTCCATTTACTACAATTACAGCTAGAAAATAAAAATTGTTTCACATGTGAACACAGTTTCCTTTGGTAATGTCCATTAGGGTAAGTTATTAAATTGTCTAACTTTATCATTTGGCTATTGTGGCACAATTGGAGGCACAACGTAATTTATAATTAGTTCTATTATTTGATAATTCCAACATCCAAATCATTTTTACTGCATTTTACTACAGTGCTGTTGCAAAAGAAATTGGTATTTATTCTGATTGAGAACCTATTATTTAGTACATGTGTCTGATAAAAATAATAACGTTGATAATGCTGCTTATGTCATTTAAATAGTTTAATGTACATTGTTGCTAAAATAATGATACTAAATGTAATGAAATGGTGATTCTATTTTAAAGTATTAAAAAGATTGAAAGAATTTTATTTTCACGTGCATTTTATGTAAAATGAAGCTTTAAGACATAATTTGAAACTATAGTTATTTCATTAATTTGATATTATTTTGATGATTGTTAAAATTATGAGTCCACTATGATGCTTAAATAACTAATCTTGGAAGAGAATAGAATGTGAGTTAAGTGTTAATATTATGCATACTGTATTAATGCATGCATTATTTAACTATGCTGACTGACTGTTCTGATTAAAATAGAATCAGAATATGTTATTTCACACAGTGGTGATTAAAAATGTGTGTAATTGGTAAATGAATTCTAAGTATCATATCTTATCTTCATTAAAGTATACCTAAAAAAAAGTTAGTATTTATGGTTTATAACTATACCTATAAATATAATAACTCAAGTTCAAGATAATTAGACATCTTCTAAAAGACTAAACAAATTAGTAAAATTCTGCAATTTTCAAACGTAATGCCTAATATGAGAGAAGACCAGGCACAGTTATGGCAACTTATGTAGCATCTGTGTTGCCTAGAATTAAGTGGAGATGGTTCAGAAATGTACATTTCTTTCTTAACTAAATAAATAGCATAGTGAAATTAGAAAAATGGCCAAATGAAAAGAAAATAATAATAATAAATTTAACTTGTGATGACATGGCTCTTAACTTTTTAATTAATGACCACAGATCAATCAGCCAATGAAGGTTAGTTTAGAAATTTAGAAAAATTGGTGAAAGATAAGTTTTCAAAATTATCTTATTTACGTATTTTATTATGTTATTTTGTTCATGTCAAGTACCTTGCCAATGGAAATTTTAAAAAAAGTCTCATCAGTCAGTTAAAAGATTAGTTGAGATCACTGCATGAGTCGCAAATTACATGTGAAGTTTCAGCTAGCTTAAATTAACATGAAAAAAATATCAATCTCACAAAATTACTTGAGGCTATCAGAACTGACATTAGAATTGAGGTTAAGGAACTCCTTCTTAATTTGACAATGCTATGGAATGGGCATTTAATGTAGAAAATGTGTTGTTAAATAGGGAAAAAAATACTTGAACTATAAACTTGGAACAGAATTTAGAGATCAGTGCATTCCTTAAAGAACAAATGCAATAAGACAAAATTATGCAGTAGCAAACCAATAAGGTAAGACCGGTTAATAAATCCTGCGAACCTTGCGGTATATGCAGGGATTAATGGAACTACTCATTTCTTTAATATAACCACCATACTGTACTCGTCCCCTAACAAAAGACAAGTTAACACCGCCAACAAATAACTTTATTGAAAACAATTTTACAAAAACAAAAATTTACAATCTTCTTGATTACTCTTAATACAATATAATTATTAAA